CCGTCCGACTTCGAGTGTCGTCTCGGCTAACTTAGCTTAGCTGTTGTCGTGTGTGACGTCATTTGCGTTGGCGCTGATTGGTTGAAATCAAAAGACGCGCTTGCGTACATGTTCGCGCTGAAGCACGCACAGCAGAGAGCAGCGGACTATCTACCGCTGAGGCTCGCTTAGTTTGAGTGGCGTCGCCACAACAGAAATTCCCTCGCCTCGCATTCTCATGGCCTCGCCATATCTCGGAGATTTCGAAATTTCGGCCCGAACGGAAGCCACAAAGGGTACACGTGTGCACACGAAAGGAAGATTAATCATTGAATGTCGAGTATTTGAATAGCGTTTTGTGTAAACTAATTCATGCGTGATCGGCCAAGTGCGAGATATATATATATATTTTTTTTTTCCGGAATTTTCAGAAAAGTCCACTTTCATCTCTGTTGAATGAATGGCTGACCAAAAAACTTTTCATATATATGGCACATCGCATTATAAGGCGCATAGAATAGAAGCTACAATAGTGGCTGCGGTTGCATTATGCTTCCACTAGATGGAGTGACGCTATAGGGAATACAATACAATACAATACAATACAATACAGCTTTATTTCTAAAGAGCTTTCACAAAGTGCTGCAGCTGTAACAAAGCGCTTTACAGAATATTTAAAATACTACGTCCAAGAAATCAGAATGTTAATCCATGTAGAGTGCGCATCGGATTATAAGGCGCACTGTCGACTTTTGAGAAAATTGAAGGCTTTTAGGTGCGCCTAATAGTGCGGAAAATACGGTACTTGCTCAGAAGATCAGAACTCAATGGTCAAGCCAAACTTAATACAAATGCACACACACTGACTGTTAGAACATAAAACATCTACTACAGCCTTGTTTTTGTTAGCATGTCAACTCTGAAGGGATAGAGATATAGTGATGTATTAACGTGCTCAGTCGCCATCTCATACTATTCACTTTCCAGGAAGCAAACATGCTTTTAAGGACTCAACGCTCACTTTCACAATACTCTGACGTACTGTGTGCATATTTGATTATCCTTGTCATTTGCACAGTATGCCTCAGCCACTTCCTTTCTCTCATAACTTTCTGGCACGAAATGTTCCCCCAGGTTGTGTGGGCTCTTACTTCCTGCTGGTTGGCTGGATAATTGTCATTTGTGGGTGGTTGGCAATAAACTTAAACTAGGAGGTTTTTCTGGTGGTCTGATGCACCCAACCCCAAGGAAAGCTAGCTGGCTTCTCTCCTCCACTATTTCAACCCTTCTTCTCTCATACACACACGCACACACACACATATATATATATATATATATATATCAGGGTCTAGTTATGTACTTTGCTGAACTGGCTTCCTCAATCACCCCCATTCACTGATGGGCGGGCACTCGGTTCTGTTATAAAACACATCATGTTTAACTCCGGGTCTCGAACCATCAAGCGATCACACGTTGAAACACCGGAAGTGTATCAATTGTGCGCGTGAATGCCAAAAAGAATTATTCGTGCCATGCAATAGGCAGACAGAAACTCCATCGATGCATCAAACCTGAATAACTACACATACTGTATCTTTTCGAGACAATGTCAGAAGAATGATTGTGGTGACATCACTTGTCTGTTTTACATAATTACAATCAACAGTCCATCCGGTCACTTACATTACCTAATTAAATGACTAGCCTTCCATCCGCCATTTTAGTGGTTGGAATAATCAGTGAGATTTTATACTGCTGGAGGGCTTGAAAAATTAGCAACAAATCTTTTAGTGCCCTCAGGCTTTTGGACAGTGCCATCTATGCAGGTATGTAAAATTATTATACTGTTAAAAATGGTAAAAGTTTTCTTTAGTTGTTCGGAAGTATTTAAAAATGTTCTTATTTTTTATTTGATCCAAATTATTCTCCTTAGTGTGTGTGTGTGTGTGTGTGTGTGTGTGTGTGTGTGTTTGTTTTTTGTTGTTTTTTTTTTTTTTTTTTTATTAAAGAATGGGAAAACACTATCTCTAGGTGTTCTCAATTTAGTCTATGAGCTCATGTTGTCCATCTGCATGCAGTCATGACAGCAGCGTGTGTGTGTGTGTGTGTGTGTGTGTGTGTGTGTGTGTGTGTGAGTGTGTGTGTGTGTGTGTGTGTGTGTGTGTGTGTGTGTGTGTGTGTGTG